TCCAAGTCAGACCACCAGTGATCACTCCCTCCAGCTATATCCCATCTCCAAAATTTACAGTTTCCCACAAGTGTGCCACCATCTGGGGACCAAGCACTCCAAGCAGGAGGAGCCTGTAGAAACCACAATGATGCTCTGCGTCCTTTTCTTCTCTGGTCTGTTTAGCTCACTCTAAATGCTTTCCACGCTGCTTCTATTCCTGGGCTCTGGGGTTTCCAAGAAGATGCCTATTTCCGTGGCTTATTGAGCAGCTCGTCACAGACAGGAAGTTGGTGTGTATATGGGGAGTCATAGTATCTGAGAACTTACTAACTGTGTGCAACCTCAGACAGGGTGTCTCATTTTCCTGGCTCAGTTTCCTTACTTTCAGGCTACATTAATGTATGTGTTATTTTCAGATTTCCTGGAAGCATTAGTGCCATCAGAAGTGATGGGTATGGCATGCTAGATGTCTTATGGTTGGTCTTCAATCAATGGTAGCTATTCTAGGTAATTGGGAAGTGTCTGTTTATTTCCCCCTGTGGTCAAAGTTTATATAAGCTGTGTGATGTTTGCTTACCTAAGATATTTAACAAGTTTCTTATGCTTGGTGTATGCAATATGGCTTGGTATATCAGCACTAAATGGTTTGATTGCTTACGGAATTTCTGTCACCTGGTGAATACATCAAAGGCATGGCACAAGATGTAACAGAGTAGGAAGTATGTAAGTCTTTGAAGGTGACTGTGTTAGCTCTTGCATGTCTCCTCCTGTTGATCCTCATTTATCTTATCTACAAAGTGGGGGGTTTGTTGTCAGGGTTTCTGTCCTGCCTGGTTCCCACAGTCCTTAAGTCCCAAAGAAATCACACAGAGGTCTACAATAGCTGTAAACTGATAGGCTTAGTAGCTCAGACTTCTTATTAACTCTTATAACTTATATTAGCCCATTATTCTTGTTTGTGTTAGCCACATGGCTCAGTACCTTGTTTGGCAAGGCAGTCACATCTTGCTTTTTCTGTGGCTGGGGCAGGACTGCAGACTAGGACTGCTTTTTCCCAGAATTCTCCTGTTCTCATTGACCCGCCTCTACTTCCTGACTGGTTGTCCCACCTATACCTCCTGCCTGGTTACTGACCAATCAGCATTTGTTTAAAATATAATTGACAGAATACAGACCATTGTCCCATGCCAGGGCGCTTAGTCTAGAATACATCTCTATGTAGTTTTTCTGAAACCAATGGTTTATCCCCAAAATCATGAGGGCCAAGGGAAAGAACAGAGTTCTTTCATTCTCATCTTTATACCAGCCAATTCCTCTAACCAATCACTACCCTGTCTAAGAACCAGTTCTCACCATTTAAATCAAATTTTATTGGCTTTGCTTCTTTGCTGAAGACAAGGTCTCACATGAAAGTCAAACAGGCTTAGAACTTGCAACATAGCCTAGGTTGGCCTTGAGCTCCTAACAGTCCTCCTGCCTTATCTTCCTGAGTATTGGGTTTGCAGGGAGCCACCATGGCCAACTTCTGGCATTTTGATGTTTAGTTAAAACAACTAACACAAAAGCAGCCTTTATCAGCTTTGGGATATAAAAGTCAATGAGCTTGTGCCTGAAACAACTTGGAGTGTCCTTCTAGAAGGACACTGGAAAATGTTGCATGGAACTCCCCACCTGCCCTATGTTTTATTTGTAACTGATCTCCTAAAATATCGAGTTTCTGCCATGGTTTAGACATGAGGGTCTTCCAAATGATTCCTGTGTTAAAGCTCTCAGTTGATGGGCCCTGGCTTCATCAGTGGATTCATATATTAATGAATGGCTACATGTATTGATGCTTTAAGAAGGCTGTAGTAGGAAGCCACTTGTTCATTTCCTGGCCACCCAGACTCATGAAATAATCACACAGAAATTATATTAATTAAATCACTGCTTTGCCTATTAACTCTAGCTTCTTATTGGATAACGCTTACATATTAATTTAACCCATTTCTATTAATCTGTGTATTGCCACATAGCAGCGGCTTACTGGGTAAAGTTCCATCCAGCGTCTGTTTCTGGCAGGGCTACATGGCACATCTCACTAAACTCCACCTTCCTTTTCCCAGCATTCAGTTCAGTTTTTCCCACCTAGCTCTGTTCTGCCCTGCTATAGATTCAAAACAGTTTCTTTTATTAACCAATGGTATTTATAGCATACAAAAGGGAACCCCACATCACTTCCCCTTTTCTGTTTAAATAAAAAGGAAGGCTTTAACTTTAACATAGTAAAATTACATAAAACAAAACAAGTATCAAGTAAAAATTATAGTTACAATATTTATATCTATTTTGCTTTTTATCATAATTAAAGAAAACTATAACTATATATTCTTCAACTCTATCAAAGACTCCAGAAGGATATAATATTACCTAAGTAAACAGGAAGTGCATTGTAAACAATTTCCAAAACTCTAGATTTGATAGAGACATCTCACTGCTCAGACAGTCACCCAAAGTTCTTCTGTATCATTGGAGCATCCATCTTTAGCCTACTGGCCCATAGTAGTTGGCAGACTTTTCCATGAAACAGGAAATTTCAAAGACAGTTTCATCAATATTGGCAGTTTGTCAGTCACTTTCTTCTGTGTTTTGCAGAATGTCTGGCAGACTCTTTCATGAAACAGGAACCCTGAAGGACCATCTCACCTTTAGGCAAGTTCAGCAGTCATTTCTCTGCCAGTCCTGCATGTCCAGTTCACACAGCATAGCATCAAACAGTCCAGGCAAGAGCAGTTTCTTGCCCAAATGGCTAACCAACTCCATTAGGAATCTCTTCAATGTCCATCATCCTCTTGAAGTAGATTGGTGCTGCCAGGAGCAGACGTTGTCTCATTGTCATGAAAAGTCCTAACTTCCTAAAACATTTTAAATGCCATATTCTGAAGGTCTTTGAAAGATTTGAAGAATATCTAAACTGAACTATATCTCTATATATCCAGAAAAGTTAACTAACATGACTACAAGTTTGACTATTAGAGATGATTCTCTATCAACCTATATTTCTTAATTATACATTACATTTTTAAATGATCTGCACACACAATACCTTAATCAAGAGAAGAAATATACACATAACAAAATTAACCTTAAATTTGTATCAATACACCAAGATCCATATCAATGCAAATTATTCATATCTATATCATATCCCCCTTTAAATGTAAACAAATATTTATAAATAATCATTTAGAGAACTTGGGTATAGTTCTTCTCCAAACTGCTTTCTGCTTTTTGTTGGGTGAAGTAATTTGGGGGGGGGGGGTCTTGGTCCATCAAACCACATTAGTCTGGAAGGATTCCACAGGTTCTCAGCCTCAATGGAAACAAAAGTAGAACCTCTTTTCTAAAGCAACATATCCTTAGACCCAAGTTTTGAAATCAAGATACCTTTTTGTTAGTCTCGCTTAGCAGTACATACAATAAAATGTTTCTCTGTACTTAGATCCTTCACAGTAAAAAAATTCAAAGAAAGCACAATAATATACATAATCCAGACTCTCTGTGTATATTCCATCTTTATGTGGATTATTTTTCTTACTCTATTATTTTTTCTACAAGTTTAATATTTATTTTATTATCTTTACTCCTTTAATCTATGACTTCTGTATTCTTTTCTATTACATTCACTGTCTCTTTACTTTTTTTCTTCTCTCTCCCAGAAGCCTACATACTTAAAAACAATATCTCATTTAGAGGTCTTTTATGTCTGAATCTCTCCTTATTGCATATCTGTAATCCTTTTCTGACCAGGATGGCTTTTTTTTTAATGCTAAGTCAGTGTGGCTAGGGACAAGGTGGCCCTATCTGCTTGCTCCGCCCAGTCTAACATGCCTGAGGCATGTTCCTTGCCTCTGAGAGCCAAGTACATTGCCCCAGTTTTAGGTTCCATGTTTGGCACCAACTTGTAGTAGGAGGCCAATTGTTCGTTTCCTGGCTGTCCAGACTCCAAGAATAATCATACAGAAATTATACTAATTAAATCATTAGCTCTAGCTTTTTATTGGCTAACTCTTACATCTTAATTAACCCATTTCTATTAATCTGTGTATCACCATGTGGCAGTGGCTTACCGGATAAAGTTCCATCCAGCGTCTGTCTCTGGCAGGGCTACATGGCATCTCACTAAACTCTACCTTCTTTTTCCCAGCATTCAGTTTAGTTTTCCCCACCTAGCTCTGTTCTGCCCTGCTATAGGTCCAAAACAGTTTCTCTATTATTTCCAGCATTCAGAAGGGAATCCAAATTAGAAGGCAAGGAAAATATTTGAAAGTGGGGCCATGTAGGAGTCATGAGGATGGGGGTCCCTGATGGTCTTGACCCCCCTTTTCCCCTTCTCTCCCTCTGCTCTTCCTATGATGGCAGCCTTCTCTTCATCCACATGCTCCTAACAGTATGATGCTCTCTCTACCTCATAGCAATGGGGGAAGCCAAGGTGGAGCTAATTCTCTGAACCCATAAACAAAGATTTCTTTCTTCGAAATCATTTAAGGTCTTTGTCACAGCAATGAGAAATTGACTGATATGGTTTCTGCCTGGGAAGATGGACTCATTCGCTGGCATCTGTGAGCAAAGTGGGGCAAAGGTGTTTGCAGGGAATCATGTTGTGTTCCTTCTGCCTCCTGCACCATCTTGACCCTCATGCTTGTGTCCAGAGGGGGTATAGAAGTTGCCAAGGGGATGGGGGGGACAGGTGTTTCATTCATTCACACAACGGAACAATAGAAGCCCCATCTGCTGCGTCTGCCCTCCTTGTCCAGTGTTTGTGTGCCCCTGTGTGAAGCAGTTTGATCACACAATTGACAAGGGGGCAGTGTGTTTACTGATTGAAGCAGAGTCTCCAGGGGAAAGTCATGTTGTTTATATCGAGCATGACAGATACATCTAAATGGTCTCAAGGCACAATACCCACACTAACGGTTAATTTGGCAGCATCTACAGCCAGCTTCATCCTTATCACAGCCGTTATCTGTTCAAACTGGAGTCGAAGCTCCATGCTCGTTTCAGTAGTCCTGAGACACGAGTCTAAGGTGCTATTATCCTGAGTTCTTGCCCCTAACCTGACAGCCCTGATTATACGGTAGGTAATTTGCTGCGCTTCAGAATCTCCTCCTGCAGAGACCAGGCAAGCCCGACACCAGATGCCCACTGACCTGTGTCGACACAGAGGTCAAACTGCTGTCACATCTTCAGTTGTTAAGGAGAATGGCCCAGTTTCATCTGTGTCTTGAGAGAGTTTTGTTCTAAATATCTAATGATGTGACTTTTTAAAACTGTGTTTAAACAGTAGCCCGGCAGGGGGAGTTAGAAAGAAATGGGAGCTGTCACTGACTTGAGACTGATGGTCCTTCCACGTGCTGCACAAATGACTGAGTCTCTCCACTCTGTGTTCCAGGCTTTGAGGAAAACCCCAGAAGAAAAGGATGTGGGGAAGGAAAAGATGACATCAGCGCAGGGCAGACAGAACCCGAGGATCCTTCCGGTGAGAACAGACTAAGGACGCGAGAGAAGCCGCTTGTCAAAGGTGTGTGCTCGCTTCTGTGAATACCAAAGCCTTGGATGTGTCGGTTAGCACACTGAGCATCCAGTGGGCATTGAGTGAAGCTCATACTATCATAACCATGCAAACACCTGTGTTAGCATTGATGAGGACGGAAGTATACATATACCCTTCCATGTCGAAATAAAAGCAGATGTCCTAAGGTTGAATGATAGACTTCCATTTTATAGAAGTCCTCTTCTCAGAGGGAAAAATATACAAAAACTAAAAGAAAAAGGGAAAGATTTAAAGTAGCAAATGTACTGCACTTTAGACAAATTGCCTGTGATATTTTGCTTAAATTCTGTGCAACCATTCTATTTGTGACCTTTTCTCTTTAAAGTGTGTGTGTGTGTGTGTGTGTGTGTGTGTGTGTGAGGAGTGTTGTGCCTGCATGTATGTCTATGAGCCAAATACATGCCTGCTGCCCACAGAGGCCAGAAAAGAGCATCAGAGTCCCTGGGACTAGAGTCCCCTGGGATAATCGTGAGCCGCCATGTGGATGCTGGCAATCAAACCAAGGACTCTGGAATAGCAGTTGGTCCTCTGTACCATTGAGCCATCTCTCTAGCTCCAAATTATTTCCTTTGTATTCACAGTTAAACACTTAACCAGTTCAGTTCAGGTCTACTGGACAGATGAACAAAGCTAATGATTGATATTTAATGATTGTGTTTGTTCATTGACAATCTCTTCCATGTGTACAACACACACAAGTGGGTTTGGTCATAGCAAATCCCGTTCCTTCTTTTCTCTTTATCTGACCCTCACAACACAGCCCATTCAGCACTAATGTCCTCTTGTTCTTTTTAAATAACTCACTGAATCTAACTAGTGCTGCTGCCCATGTGTGCACAGGCATGAAGCCATCCCCTAGAGCATGGGCACCCTTCCAGGGGCCACACCCCTAAAGACAATTGACTCTTCCTTCCCCAGTAGCCACCAGCTGCCAATAGTGCTTCAGGTGAGGCTGAGCCCCAGAGTTCTCTCCTCTAGTCATGCTGGGAATTTTGACTGGTTTGTAACTCTGTCTCATATTCCTCCTTCTCACCCTTCCATGATCCTGTCTGCTCTCTCTATGTCTTAGGGTAGAGTGGGATTAATATAAATGGCCTGTTTAGAGTTAAACATTCAACAGTCACTTATTCTCAGTTCGTTGACCTGTTAGAGAGAGTATATCGGAAAGTTTAAATGCCCATTGAGTCCTAGGTTTGGTATCCAAACTCTTCCCACAGAACTGCCTTGAAAGGCATTAAGAACTATGTCAACATCAGGGGTCACCGGGGAAATGGAAACTATACTGTGGACTGCTGAGATATTTCAGGGGTAAGAGCACTCAGTGTACAAGTTTGAGGCCTGAGTTCAAACGACCCATACCCATGTAAGAAAGTCATACATGGCTCTGTGTGGGGGCAGAGAAAGGAGACTCCCTGAGATGTGCCAGCTACTAGCCTAACAGTTTTAGTGAAAGGCCCTGTCTCTAGGGAATAGGGGGAGATGAGAGAGCAGGGCATCCATAGATGCATAGGTTTGAATGCTGGGTCACCAGGGAGTGGCACTATCTGAAAGGATTAGCAGGCATGGCCTTGTTGAAGAAAGGGTGTCAGTGTGGGTGGGCTGTGAGGTTTCCAAAGCCTTAGCCAGCCCCAGTATCACTCTCTTTGTACTGCCAGCTGATCCAGATGTAGAACCCTCAGCTACTTCTCTAGTTCTATGCCTACCTACATGTCATAGACTAAACCTCTGAAAGTGTAAGCTGGCTCCAATCAAATGCTTTCTTTTATAAGAGTTGCTCTGGTCCTGGTGTCTCTTCACAGCATAGAATAGTGACTAAGACAGCACCTCATGTCTTTCTCTGTTCCAGCTTCAGCATGTGCAGAAGCGCTGGCACAGGTTTGTACGCATCTGTACATACACACATATCACATGTATTCACACGCATACATCTGTATACAGACACACACATAAATTTAAAAGACGACAGCACTGAGCAGTTACTCCACCTCCAATAGAACGGCTGTTTGCAAGCAGGGCAGTAGAGAAGGATTTCGTTGTGCTGGTAAGGACACACCATGGCAGGGGTGCGAAATGACGTAGACACTGGGAAACAGTGGAAATAGTATGGCTGCCTCTCAGAATACCTAATAGAATCACTGTGTCCATCAGAACCTCACCTCTGACTGTCTACTCCGAAACACTTGATATCAGGGACCAAGACATTCTATCCCTGCTTATAACATTTCTTCCACTATGTTGTTTTGACACAGTCTAGCTAGGAAGCACACTTTTGCCTTGACCTCACGACTCTCAGTGCTGGGCTTACACTTGTGCACTTCCACATCTGGCTTTTCAGCAGTCCAGTTAACAATGACCAAAGGTGAAAATCCCTGAGGCTCAGCAGTAGCTGAGTAGATAAACGAAATTTAGGCACACGATCCATAGAATACTATTCGACCTTAGAAAGGTGTGAAATACTGACCCATGTTACAAGGAAGAATATGGAAGGCAACAAGGCTAAGAGAAAAGCACAGTTAGGAGGGAACAAGTGACTCCACCCCCCTGGGTGCCTAATTCAGTCTCAGGCAGAGGCAAAAGCAGGGGAGGGTTTCCAGGAGCTGTGGAGGGAAGTGGAGAGTGACTGCTGAGGGCCTATAAACTGTAGAGTGCCCATCCTGGAAGGGAAAATTCTAGAGATGGAGCAGTACTGGCTGCACAGTGTGCATGTGCTCAGTATACTGAGCTGCACTTAAAATTGCCTTCGTGTGCCAGGGAGAGGGGTCAGTGGGTAAAGGCACCTGGCACCAAGTCTAAGGGGCCTGAGTTAAAGCCCCAGGATCCAATTGTTGGTGTCTTGGTTGGGATTTCTACTACTGGAATGAAATACCTGATCACAAAGCAAGTTGTGGAGGAAAGGGTTTATTTGGCTCACACTTCCATATCACAGTCCATCACTGAAGGAAGCCAGGGCAGGGACTCAAACAGGGCAGGACCCTGGAGGCAGGAGTTGAGGCAGAGGCCACAGAGGGAAATTGCTTACTGGTTTGCTCCCCATGACTTGCTCAGCCTTTCTTACAGAACCCAGGACCACCAGTCTAAGGGTGGCTTCACTCCCAATGGACTGGGCCCTCCCCCATCGATCATTAATTAAGAAAATGTCTTACAGGCTTGCCTACAGCTGGACCTTATAAAGGCGTTTTCTCAGTTGAGGTTTCCTCCTCCCAGCTGACCCTAGCTTCTGTCAAGGTGACATAAAACTAGTCAGCCAGTTGGAGAGAGGAAACCAACTTCTGAAAGTTGTTCTCTGTCCCATATACATGTGGAAAATAAGTAAAATAGATAGATGGGTAAATGCAACTAAAAATGGGTGGTTCCAGTGATAATTTTTTATTTATATTGACTATAATTTTTTTAGATACTGACAAAAAATTCTTTTTCGAAGGAAATATGTCAATAGTTTAAAATGTCACCTTAATACATTTTATTCATTGCCAAGTTTGCTAAGTAATTTTGTGGCCCCAAATAAAAAGTACAATATTTTGATGTACTTTTGTGGCAGGAGGGAGACAGAGGGACAGGGTCACACATGTATGTACTGGTACATGCCAAAGCCAGAGGATAGTCTCAGGCGTCATCATGAGTTTTTTGTTTGTTTGTTTTAGTGTGGAAAGTGGACTCGGCCAAGTATTCTATGCTGGGGAGTACAAGCATGTACCACTGTGTCTGGCTTTTTTAAAAGATGGTTGAGCTAGCTCATGGGTTGAGAGATGTTTTACTCTTCCAGAGAACTGAAGTTTGACTTCTAGCACCTACGTCAGGCAGCTCACAGCTGCCTGTCACTCCAGCTCTGGCTTCTTTGGCCACCTGCACTCATGTGCACAAGCCTACGTAGACACACATTCATACACATAGTTTAAAAACAGAAGAAAGGCTCAGTGGCTAAGAGCTCTTGTTCTTACAGAAGAACTAGGTTCGGGTCCCAGGCCCCCTGTGTCAGCTCACAACCAACTACAACTCCAGTTCCAGGGGATTCAATGCCATCTTGCAACTTCTATGTGCCCCAGGCACACACATGGGGCACAGAGATACTTGTGAGTATAACACATGTACACATAAAATTTAATAATAAAAACAAAGATTCTGGGCAGGCTTAGGGAATCAAACTTAGATCCTTGTGTCTGTAAAGCAAACACTTTGCCAGTTGAGCTATTTCCTCAAACCCCAGACCTTTTCCCTCCGAAGTGATGCTTCATACTCCCAAATTAGAAAAAGTGAAGAAAAGACAACAAATTGCTCGGTAACTTCTAGTCCCTGCGTTAATTAGTTTACAAATATTTGCTCATTGAAACCTTTATAAAATGGAGAGATGTTGTCATTTCCATTTCATGGATGACATCATTGAGAACAGAGAGGTCAGGTAGCACACCCAAAGTCACACAGTGATGGAGAGGCAGAGTTTGGGGGCAGGGGCTCCAGAGCTGCTGACCTCGAGTCACTGTGTCTTACAAACTCCTACTCTGAAAGCTCTGGAAGCAGGGAAGCCCCATAGGCTGTGTTTGCATTTCCAGCCTTCCTTCTTGGAGACTTATCTGAAGAGTTAGAAGGCCTTGAAGGTATTTGATTGTCTGCAGCACAGCCTCTCACCTGAGGTCTATAAGTGCTTCGTTTCCAGCTGGAAGAAGGCACTTTAACTTTTAGACTTTTATTAACTCCACGATGGTGAACAGAGGAAGGCTGCTGACCCAAACTGCGAGTTTTTGGGCTTTTGGCAGGGAGATTTGGAGGACAAAATGTCCATGAACTTTCCATACCGAAGGGAAGAACCGGAGCGCACACTGCTCCCTTCCTCCGAAGGTCCACGGCTCAGGGAAAGGGAAGACAGTTTAAGAAAAGCAACCATGACTGTGGTCTAAAAAATTGGTGTGTTACAGGGAATTTAAGTTACTTTACTACAAGAATTCTCAGACATTTAGAAAACATGGTGAATC